TCATCACTGTAACAGTTTCAGGTGAGTTGGAAATCTTTCATCTGTTTTTATTGATAATTATCAGAGTCCTGTGTTACATTTCTACTGATAATGTCCTCTTTGTGCTTTAAGGAGGGACAGAAAATTCTGGAGAGATAAAATGACTAAATGTTGAAACTATTAATATCAAAATAACAAAAGAATAATAAATAAACAAACAAACAAACAAATAAACATATAAATCAATAATAATAAATATATAAATAAATACACAAATAAATAAATAAATACATAAATAAATTAACAAATAAACAAATACATAAATAAATAAATAAATAAATAAATAAATAATCAGAGCCCTGACTTCCACAGTGGAGACTTCACTGTCGGGGCAGAAGGGATTATCACGGACAAACATGAAGGAAACCAGAGGAGGAGACGCAAACAGCTAAACAGCTGATCTATGTCAGGCTGCCTTTGATGGGATTTTTCTCTGTTTCCCCGTAAACTCAACAGCTGGCACACCTGCAGCCTCTCTGAGAGCAGACAGAGGGATCATACCAGCAGGGGGCAGTGTGACACTGACCTGCTCTGTGGAGGACGGCTTGGATGGATGGAGCTTTGACTGGTTCAGAAATGGGGGCTCAGTCTATCTTGAAGCTCAGCCTGAAACAGACAATAAGGTCCTCACAGTGTCAGAGGGAGGTCAGTACACCTGCAGAGGAGGAAGAGGAGGAGAGGCAGTTTTCTACACGGAGAACAGCAGAGAAGTCGTCATTAAGGAAACTCGTGAGTTTTTTCATTTGTTTTGAAATAGAATTACAATTATAGATAGAAAGAACATCCTAAATGTAAACGTTTTTTTTCTTTTTAAAGATTTGAGTGTTCCAGACAGAGCTGAGAGCTCCTCCTTTCCTGTTCTGATGGTCGTTGGAGCTGTTGTTGTTGTTGGAGTCTTTTTTCTGGTTCTGACGCTCCTGCTGTGTCGCTGCAGACGGTCTGAAGGTGAGAGCTTTTTGTTTACTGAAGAACATGGAGGCCTCCTGAGGACGCAGACTGGAACAGCAGCACAAAGCAAACCAGTTTTTTTCCTTATGTAAAAGCTTCTCCTGCAGAGCAGACAGAGAACCAGGATGGCAACCAGCAGCAGCTTTACTCCTCTCTCCTCCACGGTAAGTTTTCCAGCTGCTTCTCAGTGTTTTCTCACCTGTTTTAAGCGTCAGTCAGCATCACAGACACGAGGAGCCTGGTTTTACTGAGCTGTGGCTTCTCTGCCCTGCAGGAGATCTCTGTGTCTATGAGACCGTCAGCGGCTGTCAAACCTCCGGAGCCGGTAGAGTAGCAACTTAGACTCTAACACAGAGCTGCTGGAAGTTCTCTCTGCATAAATTACATTAGAGTCTCTGATTCTTCTGTTTCAGATCAGCAGGAGGCTGTTTATGCTAACACATGATCCAGCCCAAAGGTCAGAACCAGAGGAGTGAGTCCACATCTGGACATGTGATGATCCTCAGCAGTAAGCTGCAGATCAAACAGAGGCTGTGTGTTTTTACATGTTTTCTGTGATCATGTTAACAGGAGAACAGACAAGAGGACAGCTCTGATTTTGGAGCCTGGATCCAGAGGATCTTGTAAATCTTTTAACATTGGTGGATGTGCGTCTTCTGTCAGATGGTGCAGGACCAAAGCTTGTATTAAATCTATATTTTGGCACTGGGATTTGGAGTCTGTTGTGTGTTTTTTGTGTGGCTCTCACCAATCTGAGGCCTTTTTGTAAAACACAGTTTGGATCTCAGGTGTTGTTACTGTGAGGGCTCCACCTTTGCACCTAAAACCATGGTCGCATGGTTCTGAACAAACTTTAAATGAGGAAAAAAGGATCTTTAAGAACTGTGAGCACTGTGATGGACTGGGGACAAAGCCTCTCCCCATTGGCTACTGGGATAGGCTCCAGTCCCCCCCGTAACCACATTAGAGAATAAGAAGTTATAACTAGAAAAAGGCTGTTCCTGCGGAACAGCTGTGAAAATGCCGAAAGCTTGAAGGGGGAATAATTTCAAAGAGCAGATAATTCAATGATTGTAAAATTGCCGGAAGATGGCGCCAGAAGATAACAAACAAAAGCTTAAACACAATCAGCAAAGAGGCCAAGTGGTTCCGCTCAGATACACAAACAGCTGAAGTAGTTAGGAATAAAGTGGGTCAAAGTTTTTCAAGGATTTGAAAGAAAGAAACCATCAGCACAAGACAGCACTAAGGAAGCAGAAGAAGACAAAGAAAAGTTGAAAAACATACGCAACGAGGTATGACATGACTTGTTCCGGCCCCGGTCCGGTCCCGACCCGGTTGGGTCCGATCCCCAGAACCAGAACGAGAACCGGGCTCTTACTACAGCCCTCTAAGCGGGCCTCGCCTGGTACCCCGCCTGGTACCAGAACCAATGTATTTCTTAAAAAGTCACTGAGAGCGGGCTTCGCCCGCCTGGTAACAGAACCAATGTATTACTTAAATATTTCTGAGCGGGCTTCGCCCGCCTGATACAAGACCCATTGGATCCATCAGGCCCACAGCTCTGCAGAGCTCTGCTGATCGCCAAGGTAACGGCAGCCTGGCCCAAGTCTCAACTGCCACACCTGGGACTCATCACTGAGCTTCACCTCTGACACAGACCCAACTGACAGATTGGATCAAAAGTATCCCCCGAACTCCTGCCCACTGTTCAAAAACTAAAAGAGCGAATTCTGAAATTCTTCAACCGTGAGCGGCACGAGACTTTCAGGTCTCAGCCAGTTGATTTTTTTTTCGGCTACTCGCAGCAGTTATTTTTTATGGTAATTTCAAAATGAGGGCTGTTTTGGCTCTGGTGAAAAATGTCTCCTTTCTCCCATTAAAATCCAATTAAAGAGGGTTGTGAAAGTCTGGACTCTGGGCCAGATTGCCGGAAAAACGTAAGGCCGAGGTCAAAAGTGGGCAAATCGGTCGAAAGAGGAGGCCCGCGCCTACGTTTTGAGGCCATTTTGGCTCTACCCCACTATTGGGTCTTTTAGACGTCAGAGTTTGACTTTTTTTTGGTGAACGTCCCCACAGGGTTC